CGCCAGAAAAGTGGGGTCCCGGAGAAGAAGCCATGCTGCAGTTTTGTCCCACATCGACGGTGCTGCTCCCTGAAACTGGGCCAGGCTTCTAACCTTTCCTGGAAGGGCACAGGAAAAGCTTGGCTACCACAGTTCCCGTCATGCTAAGAGGAACCTTCAAAGGGTATGGAAATAATGCTTATCTGTATTCACCACCCTCGTTGATCTGGGCATTCGCTCCATCCTTCTTCTCTTCTGCTAGCAACAGAAAGGATCTGAGGAGCTCTACCTGCATCCATCTCACAGAAAAACAGAAACAGAGCAAGTCAGAAGGGGTCTCCCTGGCCATCTAGTCTGACCCCGGCTCCAGCCAGCTCCACTCACGACATGCCTACCATGTGCATTTCTAGCTTATCCTTGAACACCCTCACCAATGGGGCCTCAACCACCTCCCCTGGAAGCCCATTCCATACCCTCAGGGTCCTGACCGTCAGGAAGTGCTTCCTGGCATCCAAATGGAAGCTTGGCTCCCTGAGCTTTGCTATGTTGGAGGCCATCCTGCCCTCTTCTGCAGGGGAGAACAAGTCTTTACCCAGCTCCCTGTAACACCCCCTCACATACCTGTATGTCACCAACAGATCCCCTCTGAGTATCCTCTTCTCCAGGCTGAAAAGACCCAATTCCCTCAGTCTCTCCTGATATGGCTCACCCTGCAAACCAGCCACCATCCTAGTGGCCCTTCGCTGCACTGACTAACCTGGCTCTATCCTTCCTGTAACGAGGGGCCCAAAACTGAGCACAATACTCCAGTTGTGGGTGCACCAGAGTCTTCTACCTGGACAAAGCAAGATGGGAAAGGAATTAGTCTATTTCTATACTTCATGCACCCTGCCAGCAGTATATTGCACAAGTAGCTTTCCCCAAAGAGCAAGTTCTCTGGGAAGAAAGGTCTCACAATCAAAAGGTCAGGCCTTCCAGAGAAAAGAGTGGGAAAACACCCTGCATCCAGTCACAGATTTAAAATGCAGGACCACACAGCTGGTCGGAAGTATCAGGACTAGCTCACAATTGGAATAAATCCATGCCCAAAGGACTACCAGATGATTTTCCTCCTAGAGGAGGCAAGCCAGACTTAGAGAACAGCAAGCAGGAGATAGCTCTCCACATCCTCAGTTGCCCAAAAGATTGAACAAGGGAAATGAAAGGTTTACACCTATACCTGTTGCTCTTGAGGAGTACCATAGGGGTAGAGATGGGCCTCCAGTAATGAGAGAGAGACTCCCAAACAGTGTCTTGGGCTTGGGGACCATCACAAGGCTAGTGCTAAGTTGTATGTGGCTAGTGGGAGAAAAGGGAGGGCATCCACCGCGGGCTGATAAACCCAACCCTAACCAATCAAAAATGCTGGATGGAAAACTTGGATCGGTCCAGTTCACGAAATGGCCTGGCACAACACTGTTCACTGTTGGGCTCAGGAGATGTTCCCAAATGCCTACATACCACTAGGAGCCTGTTTTTTCTCACAAATGAATCCTCAAATACCTAGATAACACAATCCTATTTTCAGGACTCAGCACCACCCCTTTCAGCATGTAGACACCTGATTTCTTCTCACTTTTAAAGAATATACTTAAATATTTATGTATACTTATGTATTTACATATTCTAAAATATATACTTAAATATAGTCAAAATATGTTTCCAATATTTTGCATTCTTTGAGTTCATCAGCCGAGGGCTACAATGCTACACACACACACTAATAGGAATCAGACCCATCGAAATTCAGTTGAACTTACTTCTGTGTAAATGTGAATAGGATTGTGCTGCAAGTACAAAAAGCAATCAGGGCATTTGCGACTGCTCATTGATAAGGATCCATTTCTCCCACTGAGAGGTCACTCCTACAGAGAGCAAACCTCATATTCAGAGAACTCAGGAAAGCACTCTTTCATTCCTACCCTCAAGAATGTTATAATTTGGGGTGCATTTGAATCCATCATTTAAAAAGTCAGGCATCTTATTCTGAACCTCATCCGCCTCTAACTACTGTGGCAATCTTCCCCTGTTTCAGGTTATGACCACAGCAAAGCGTTTACCAATTATCATTTTCCCATTTGCTTACTCCGGATGGTGGTCCTTTGCTCGGTGGCTAAACTCAAGAGATTAGCTCATCGTAATGGGTTTTTCCATGCAGCCTGCAGAGTTCAACATCAGCAAGGCCATGGATCCACTCTAGGTTGTGGTCCAAAACTGTAAGGAACTATCCACAGTCCTGAGCCTGTTCTGGGGCTCTGATTCAGCACCATGGAGAGCTCCTTTCCCATTAAGGCTGAAATCTAGAGCAGCGGCAATCTAAGAGCCCTTCCTTTCTGCACGGTCTTTCCACCCAATCCACCATGTTTCCTTCTCTGCTATCCTCACCAGTGGTATGGACAATGGTCAAGGGTAATCTGTCAATTGCACTAGCAAGTTACACATGCACAAACTGTGTACCTGCAACAGCCATGTACTTTAATTTTAAACATACACAACACTCAGATCCCCATGCCATTGACAAGAATTTTCTATAATCTTTCCCCCATTTCTATTATCATGTTAGTAACAGGACAGTTGGAGAAGAAAAGAGAGAAAAGAAACAGAATAAAAAATGTAGCAGAGAAACACCCACTGATCTCAAATACTGCACAGAACATCAAGTACCCTCCCCCACTAAAAATGCTCTAAGTCAGTAACGACCATCCTCTGTACTTGGTCACATTTATTTTTAAAGAACTTAGTTAAAATTCACTGAAAATTTTACTAAATTGCACTTCTTGAACTTAATCTCTATTCACCACGGCTCAACTTTCTAAAACAACACAGCCTTGGTACGATCATCAATCTCCAACACTTTTCCCCAAAATTCCATTCCCTTTACACTCACCATTAATTTTTTGGCTGGTTATCTTTTTACATAGTTAATTAGTCTTACCATTGCTGCTTATTTTTCCAGTCTTGTACAGCCAAATTTCCTTTTGCTTACTACGTATTTTAAGGCAATTTTAACTCCAGCTACAATTATCGTGTACTTAAGTAGATCTATTCATCATAACCCAACTTACTTTAACAACAAAGCATCCTTACACGAGTTAAAGAATTGTCCACAATTTTGTCAGTGCTGCAAGTGATGTGAGGAGTGAGGAACTGAGGGCAGGGAATGCTAAATTCAAGTAACAGTTGCCCAAGCTTGTGAAGCACACACTTCCTCCATGTGGCTTCATTCTTAGGCTGCAGCATGTGGAGGGATTTCAGCCATGTAAACCAGGTCTTCCACACAAGCCCTAGACAAGACAAGCCAAATGTGAGGAAGGGGCAAAATGAAGCAAACAAATGAACAAAACACAAGAGCACACCCTCCAGAGAAACTTGACGACGTCTCATGGAGAAGACCATGTACTCTAGGCAAGTGGAAGGCAGCAGAGAAGGGGAAAACCAGTCTCAGGATGGATTGGTTCCATCAAGGAGGACAGGTCTTTTTGAAGGACATTCAATCAAAGGGTCACCACACGTTGGAGAGGACTTGACAGTGCATAAGAGCAACAGCGGTGATCCTTTTGGTGGTTCGTCTAAGCGAAGTTCCTAAGAGGTTTAATGTGTTACACAAACCAGCTGGAAGTTTTGAAGACAAGAGATGCAAACCAAGAGGGAGACATCAGTGCCATCCTGTATTTTTATGCATATCTGCAATCTATGTGTAAATTTTTGTAATTGGCCTTCCCACTGTTCCAAAAAAAGATATTAATGCGTAATATGTATTACTTAAGCAGAGGCAAGCCCTGCAGGTACAACCTTCTAAAACAAGTTCCGAACCTTCTTGCTAATCCAGTGTTTCTCAGGACCAAACTGGGCTTCAGCTATTCGTGTCTTTACTCCCGGGGTGAGGGGGGTTGTGTAGGTGTTTTTTAAGCAAATAAATGGTGAGCGAGAGGGAGACCCAGATTGGAAGCACAGTGTGGCGGAGGCCAGGCATTAAAACTTTGGTTCACTTTGATCCCGGTTCCTAAAGCATTGAATACCATTGCTCCTAGTTTGGTCCTCGAGCGGTTAGGGCAAGTTGTCCTTGGAAGTTACAGCACAGGTTCGGTGACGGCAAGAAGATCCTGGAAACAAGAAGTTACTGAAGATGCCTCCTCTTGAAGGAGAGCATGAACTGCCGGGAAGAAACAGGTCGCTGGGGGGCTTCCCTAGCCAAGCCTTGGCCAAGGACCCTCTTGCACTTGTCGGTTCACAGCTGCAGGGCCCAGATGGGAGAGAGTGGACACCCCCGAATCCGAAAAAAGAAAAAGCGCTCCCTCCAAGGGCAGGAACAGCACATCCAGAGGAAACTCTCTGGCCAGGCTTGCCCCTGCTCGCAGCACTGCAAGGGTTGCGCGCCGCCGGGTTCGCTGCGGGGCTCTCCCTTCCGACCGGCGCAACGGCATCCGGCGCCTGCACCGCAAAGGGCCCCGCATCCCCCCGGCGCGCACAGCGGCCCGCCTCGCCGCGGGAGGCGCGGCGCTCTGCACCTGCTCCGGCGCACCGTCCCCCCGCTCGCGCACGGGCGCCAGGGCCGGAGAGCGGGAGCCGGGGGCGGGGGGCGGGGGCGCGCGCTGCCCCCGCGCTCCCGGGCCCTCTTGCGCCGCTCTCGCTCGGAGG